TGCTAGTTATGCTAGTCTGTAAGATAATGCACTCTGTTTGAATCCAAGTTCAGTGTGGGATGTAGAAGATAAATTGACAACTGTCACTAAAGTATCATATGAATTATAAAATACTTACTGGTTGGCCTGAGCAGGAAGTAAAAAATCCTGCCTAAATTTTGGAAACAATATATAGAGCTAGTAAGTATCAGTTGCCTGATTATCAGATATACACAATATATAATAGCAATAATTGGAAATTAATTCTCCTCAAATTTTTAATAGAACCTATAGGTCTATAGCACAGTAATTAGTGCTCCACAGGTCAGATTATAAGATACTAGTTTAAATCCTCCAGAAGGCTAATGTGAAACCTCTGAAAAAACAAAAGTAGAAAGGATTAGTATCTTCTAATTACTATCACAAAATACCAAGTTCAATTCCAGGTGAAGGCAATCAAACCATCTCAATATGATATCTGGTACCATAACCTAACATAAGCTATTTTATATAAGAAGCCAATTCACACATTAATTCAATAGACATTAGAATTGTGATATCAAGAAAAGACGTAGTGGTATAATAATCGTCTGGCAATGTTACAATAATTATTATTAAGTTTAATGCTTTTTCTAATTTTTATGCATGAAACATATTTCTTTACCCTTTAAGTTCACAAAACTATAAAAGAAAAACTCTGATTTTTCTCAAGATATAGCTAGAGCCACAAAGACTTCTTGTCAGATATAGTTAATCAGCAGCTGATCATATTAGAATATGGTTCTTTGAGTTTCTATTTATCAAATAGTGGATGGGATTAGAAGGCACATATCCTGACATATTAGCTCATCACCTATACTATTAGGGCTATAATGTTTATAATATAAAAGAATGGAGAACAATAAGCTGACTGGTAGGTAAAGTTATAAGAACTTTCTCTAGATAGTTTCATTAGGTAAAAAGGTAATAGTCAATTCCTATAAAAGGAAAACCATATGTATCATAAAAATTTTATCTAATAAAACATGGTATTAATAAAATCAGTTCTAAATATTTTGAGTTTTCTTTACTTAATTAGACTAAAACTGGTTATAAGAAAAGAAATTGTTAATTGGAATTAATTAGAATGAAGTACAATTCTGTCTATATATCCAAATATGTTATTCTTATTTGCCAATAATTATAATAATATTATCTAGACAATTATTATACTACTGCTTTTTTATAAAGATCATAATTTTAATATTTGTTAAATCAGTATATGAACTGACTTCCTATAAAAAACAATACATTACAGATTATTATATTAATTTTATTTAACTGCCTTTATATGGAGTTGAATTAATATTTTGTAATATAATTTATAAAATATTAAATACTATGCTAAAGATCTACAGATTAGATTAATATATACAGTATATATATTTTTTACTAAAAAAAAGTTAATACAAAACAAAAAATTAATTTTTTTATTTTAATTTTTTCTTTAACTATTTAAATAATAAAAAAAATATTAAAACTTTATATTTTATATTAATAGTTATTTAATATAGAGCTAAAATAATTATATAATATTTAAATATAGAAAATAAATAATATAATAACCTGTGGGTCCATAATGTAGTAGTTAACACTCTACAGGTCAGATCACAAGATACCAGTTCAACTCCAGGTGAAGGCGGTTGAACCAAATTAAAAATGGTATTTGGAGCCATAACCTGTTAAGCCCTGTTTCCCATAAGAAGTCATTCACATGCTAATCCAGTAGGATGTTGGGATTGTGATCCCCAAAAAAGATGTCATAGCGCAATGATCATCTGGTTGGTATTATGATAATCGTCAGAAGTTGCAAGGCGTATGAGGTGTCCGCTTTCGACGAGCAGGTTTGGTAATCCTTTCCCTAATATCTAGTGTTTTTCATGCAGATCCCTGCCCTAGTCTCATCCCAATCCAGTAATAAACCGGTCTGGCAGTACTTATCCTGAGAAGACTTCTGGCTATAAGTCCTGTTCCCTGCAATGTGTAAGTTGGTGTTCAGACAGTAAGCACCAGTTATAAGTACCTTGAACATTCTTAGGTATTATTGGACAGGTAAGAAATTAAATGGTTAGCCCAGCTGCAGGTGGTGGTAAAGGGATTTATCCCCAATGGAGCAAGTAGTGATCATGTAGCTTTATTTGCCATAGATATTACCTTTAGTGTACCCTTTCAACTTCTCTTTAATTTCTCTCCAGTTAGAAATAAAGCTGTCTGACTACTAGTGAAAATGCACATTACTGGTCCAACAAAAGAGTACCTTTGTCCAGTAGATTAGTCTCTATACCTAATATAGTTAGGAACAAGCTACAGCAAACGTCATTATTTGAAGCAATTCCGATAAGTGTTGGGTATAGTTAACAACTGATACATTATAGCATAGTCCTAGATAGTAATGTTAAAAGATATATGTAAACATCGTTATTGAATAAATACTTAGCCAGACAGTTATTGCTGGTGCACTTTAAAAAAAAAAAAATAATAATAAAAAATAATATAATATAATATATAAGTTTGTTTTTAAATTATATTTAGAATTTAAAAAACTCTTTCCTGTTTCCTTCAAATATCTGAAAAACTTTTCTTTTTAGAAAATTTTAATGAGACAAGAATTGGAGGGCTTGTCAAGTTATTTTTTCCTTCAAAGAAACTTTTTCCCTTCTTTTACCACTGTCGAGAATAAAAATCCTCTTCTAGAGAAGTCTGGTTGTTCTCTTTCTGCTATAGCCTAAGAGGTTTAGGTTGAGTAGTTCCAGGTATTACAGACAGAAAGATCAAGGTCTGAACATATTGGATGAAAAACCAGTTTCTCTTCTTCAAGACAAAGAATTATCTCTGCCAAAACTGATATAACAAGTTTTCCATATATTAAAGACCTGTTACATATGAGCCAACTTCAAGAGTTTGGTTGTAAAGACTCAAGCTACATAAGGATGGGACTCTTGGTCGAATTCCTCAAGACTGGATACCTTGTGGATGAAGGTTGCATAGAGAAAGGTCTTTGGTTTGACATCTTTTTCATTCATATATATAGAAATATTTTGGTTCTTTTTTTTTCTTTTACAACAAAAACTGAATTCAGTTTATCCCTATCAAAAGATCAACATTTTATTTCAACCAATCACACTTCATCAAAATCACATCATTTATAGCCACAATAACGTTAATAACAACAACACCAACAACAATAACAACTACCAATAACTTTTTATTACATGTTAATATTAATCAAATGACTTTAAAAAGAGTAATAATGTGGACACTAACATATAAGTCTATTATGGTAGTGTTAACGGCTTACTGAATATGTAGAAGTTGTGTCCTGCTTGGCAATTTTTCTCCTAGATTTGGCAGCTTAAACTAACTGAATTCTTTGGAGTGTCTACTAGGAGATTTTGGAGTCGTGTCCTACTTGGCCATTAAAGCCCCTAGATTTGGTAGTTTATATTAACCAAAGATTATAGTTTTGAAGCATTTACCAGGAAGTACATATCTACGTTAACCCTCCTCTGTCCTTATAGCTGCGTGAGCCGAAATTATGATGTGAAAAGTTCTGTTTAATATTAATATGTATTAGAATTTTTTTTTACTTTTATTTTATTTTTCTACAAATCGCATGGCCTGTCGTACAACTATCTAAACAGTATATTGGTTTTAAATTTTCTTTTCTAATATAGTTTAGATAGATATTGTTAGTAAGCTAGTATTTAACTCATGTATTGTGAGAGATGTAGGTTCTTTCTTATAGTTATATTTTAATATATACAAAAAATAAAGAACTGATGTTTATCAATGTAAAAATATATATATATATATATAAAGTTTTTATATTTTATTAAAAATTAAATAATTTTTTTCTTTTTTTTTGTCTTAAATTTTTTTATCAAAAATATATCTAATAAGATAATAAACCAATATTTATAGTAATATATTTTTATTTTTTATTATTATTTTTTTTAAGTTGTAAATAAGCATTTAGATACAAGACATTTTATTAATATAAGTTATTTGTTATTACATCTAGGGCTCCTAACGATACCACTTCGATACCAGTTCGATACTTAAATTTACTATAAAAACATATGAGTAGGTCACAACCCATATATTAAATTTACTATAGATCGGTACTATTTCGATACCAGTTTGATACCAGTTCGGTACTTTTTCGGAACCCTAATTACATCAAATGTTCTACTTTACCTATGGTAGGAGTTAATGTTATATTATATAACTAATATATCTTTTATTTTAATATTAATTATGTAATATTAAGGATTCAATAATTATAGACTTATTAATAAATATAAAAAAATATTTAATGTTAATATAGTAATTATATTATATTGTATTACTTTCAAGACTATAAAAATTTTTTTAAAAAATATATTTAAAAAAGGTTTGCATTTATGAAAAAGATTTTATTAAGAATTTTATATACTTGAAACTAGTGATTTTAATTGGCAAAAAAATTTTTAAATCAATTAGTTGTTTTAAATATAATCAACTAGTTCAACTAACAATTTGTAACGCATTTAGAAAGAAAACATAGTAAACGCATTTAAGAAGGGTTCTCCATATTGTTTTTATGATTACAGATTAGTAAATACATTAATAAGTAGTTTGATTAGGAGTAAAAAAAAGTTTACAGTCGTTCGGTTCATAATGAGAATTTTATTGCTTAATTCGACTTGTGATTTTTATAGCCTAAAAAAACTTATGTTAATCTCTTGTTGCACAGATATTTTAGAGATTTTCTCCGAGCAACTTTTTCATTAATCATGGGAATCGATCGTTCTCTTCTCAAAGAAAAGCCAACCCATACAAAAAGCAATACAAAAAGATGAAAAAAAACAAAAGCTTGCACTCTTTGCAAAGCAAATTACGGAAGCAGCAAAAACACAATCTTATGTTCGAAATGTCGAAAATATCAACCATCCAATCCTTTCGTGAAGTTTAGAAGTTTCTTTTGCAAGATTTTTAAGAAAATGCTGCCACAGAGAAAAAAATCCTCAAACAGCCTTTCCTTTTCGACTAGAGAAATATGGAACGAATGGGAAAAACGAAGAAATATTGATATTCTCCAAACTTCACAAAAACGGCAAACGAAAAATCGAAGCGGCACAGGATTCGCTTTTTCCATCTATCAAGAGGCTAGCGAATCGGAAGTGGATACGGAAATAAATATCACTGCCTTTCTCTTTTCTTCAAATCAAAACGGAAAACGAAAAAGAAAAGGTATGCAAGGGGATTAAAATCATTATGGATCAAGTTGAAAAAGAGAAACAACTTCCCCCTTGTCTCGAGCTTCCCGTCGAACGTACGCATGATTCCACGAAACTAATCAAGGAATCACCGAAAAATTGCTATTGTATAATGAATCTCTAAAATATTTATATTCTTAGGTTGGGTGCTTAATCGAATCAAGTGGTGTAACATGTTTGTATTAAGTAAGCAAATAAACAATGCAGTAATGCAATACAATTGTTTAGAATCTTTTGACATTAATAAACCAATAATAATAATAATAATATACATCGTGAAAATTCGTAACTTGAATTTTGTAAGACATGAATCAAGAAAACGCAACGTGAAACTCGTGCAAATAGATGAGCGTATAAGGAAGACAAACAAAAATACTGTTCGTGATATGCTTCAAGTTGTAATGTAAAAGCCATTTTAGTTACCAGTGAACAATCTAAAGAGTAAAAAGGTACAACTACCAAAGAACCTGAAAGCGGCCAACCCAGTGACGGACCATAAAATGAAAGCCATGTAGGTGTTAGATCTTGTCTGCTGAGGTAACATTTTATCTAGAGTTGAATCGACGCTTGTAATAACGGCGACCAACGCGGCATTAGAAAGAATCCAGGAAAGAACAACGCGTGTACGGAATGATTTATTATAATCATCCCTCTTTTCACTGGGAGAACGATGTTTCACTTCCTCTTCAACGTGTTGCCTTAATTCCTCAACCGCCTCCTCATATGCCTCATTGATATCCTTTTCTTCGACAGGTACCTCGACTTCCACCTCGCTTTTTCCAGAGCTAACCTTTGCAGAACCCAAATCCTGTTTAGCTGAATTGTCTCCCTTGGTACCCCAACTAGTATACGCGAATAAAGATCGTTATTAGATCGCGACAAATATTCATCAAATACAAATGAGTAAATAGAATATATATATACCTAACGTCGTGAACATTACAAAAAGCGTAAACATTCAATATGTTAATGTAGAATGGAACCAACAATAAGTATTGGCCTAAACTGGTGAACATGTGCCACGGTTCAAAGAACAAGAAACTAGCGAGAAAGTATAATCCATATGTGGATACGACGGAGAGGATGATGTTTCGAAATGTCGCATTGCTCAAGATGGCGCTCGCCGTGGATAAATTGGCGCCGGTAATAGCTCCTCTTTGTTTGTCCAGTTGGAATGCGATACCTTTGTAAGTGAGCCATCCGGCCGCAAATAACATGTAGATCATGAGAAATGAAAAGAATACTATCGAGACTATGTATGCCCACTTAGAACTTTAAATAATATAGAGAATTAAGATCGAGCCATGTTGCATGATGGTGACTTCAATAACACGCCTGTTCTCTTACCCTTGTGGTCGGTTTCCCAAAGCCATAATAAATTGGACGATGAGTAGCGTTAAATAAACATAACGTAAAATCTGGAATATAATATCGCCTGCCGTTTTACTCCAAAGTCCATCGATAACGATAGGGTCAGTGAGCGAATTACCCAGAATGTAAAAGGTCAAATAGAAGTTACCCTAAAAACGTAAATACGATGATTAAATAAAATTCGAGATTGAGATAAAACAATGTTATGCACTGCCTACCAAGGCAAACCATGAGAAGAATAAATTGTATGATTGATACAACATTTCAACATGTAGGAGAATTTTTCGGATCATGCTATGGTCACTTCTCCAGATGGCAAAGGTGTTATATACCGCGTACACGCCGGCGAAGAAAGAACCGTTCAGCCAACGTCTTCTCTGAGAAATCAGTTCTGGTACTTGATCCGGAACGTCAGTTTCGGCATACGCCGATTTGACATAATGTAACACCCAAGAACAGTTTCGTTTTGCCACCAATTCAAAACAAAGAATACGGTCCTCGGCGAGATACATGTTAGCAGTGAATATATCGTCTTTCTCCCCTTTCTTCTTTTCACCGCTATCGGGTTCCGTCGAATGCGCTGCTTCACCTAAGAAATAAGAGTGCAAAGGACCCAACCCAGTGGAAGAATCATTCTGTAGAGC